CACTGAAAAAAACCACAACTGAGAGCTGAGGGTTGGGGCAATGTTATTTTTAATTTCAGAACCCTCCCAGCCACCTCATACAGAGTAAAGACACCTCCTTTAACTTCCCCTTTTCCTTAAACTTTTCTTTTCATATGCTGACGTATGGCTGGAATTCAAAGGAAAATTGCCTTATGACCAAAACTATATATCTAAGTAAAACAGAACTCTGAGTTACTAACATCTATTCTCCCCCACACATGTGCATGTTATTGTAAGTTGCTGTTCCATTGAGCTAAGTCCTTATTTCTGCTACATTGTAAATCATGTCATCCAGTTTTCAACTTGACATATGAAAACACTTATATAAGTTCACAAACAAATGGTTATTTGGTGCCTATGATTAAGCACTTAGGTATTAACTGAAAGGTTAGAGGTTCAAGTCCTCTCAGAGCCACCTTGGAAGTCAGGCCAGGCAATCTACTTCTGATAAATGAGCCATTGAAAACCCTAGGGACTCCAGTTCTCACACACAGGGTCACCATGTGTTGGAATCAACTCAGGGGCAACTGGTTTGTTTGCTTTTAATTCTTTGAAGTCAAGGTAACTAGTCTACTCAATAGTATACTTTTTAAATAAGTAAACTCTTCCAAGTTGGAAAATTTTCAATAAACGTATTTTGGATAAGCAATCAGGAATGGCATAGAGTGTTTAATAGCATGGAGTCTCAGGGATTTGAACTCAAGTCTCAGCTTTGCCTCTTCTAGAATGTGTGACATTAGGCAAGCTTTTTAATTTTTCCAAACATTACACTCCTCATCTGTACAATGAGACAATAAAGCACCTATCTCCCATGGTTGTTGTAAAGATCAAATGAGATAATATATTTAAAGCACTTAGCACAGTAGCTAGCTTGTAGTAAGTGGTCAAAAAATGGTGACAATGTAATTAGACAAGATTACACAGGTTTGTTGGCAATATTGTGAAGTCATTCTTGCCTAGGATTCTCCTAGGTACCACCCATTACAGTAACAGTGCTTTGGAAAAGAAAATCTGTACAATATGAGCCTGTGAGGGCCCAGGTGAAGCAGTTAGGCCGGGCTCTGTGTGCCACTAGGGTCATATTCCCGGCTTCCAGTTCAGCTTTGTCACTTACTAGCTGTGTGACCTTAGACCCTTTGTCTCTCTATATCTCTATTTCCTCATCTGGAAAGTGTGGATAATAATGGCATCAACCTTCGAGGGTCGCTATAAGTATTAATGCATGAAATGCTAAGAACTGTCCCTGCCACAAGGTAAGTACCACATGTGTTAGCCATTACAATGATGCATTCCCTAACAGGTACAAATGTCTGGGGATTATTTCATGGCATCAAGTACAGAACAAGACTTCCTAGTGAGAACCACAGACATAGGCACTCAGTCTGGTAAGTTTATGAGAAAATTCCTGGGTGGGGGCTGATGGCTTTCCCGCTTTCTTTTTCTCCACACTTTCCTGCTCTACCACATGTTATTCTTCTACAACTCTTTTCTTTCTCGCCCACGTTCCTTTTCCTTCTTTTTCCCACCACCCTGATCCCTGTGCTTTCTACCAGCCTTACAGGCCACGTAAATCCCTGAGCGACAATTTGGGTCATCAGTCCTGATCAGCCAATTGCCTGCTGAGTTGGTTGTCATGAAAACAACAGTTTACTCCATAAACCTCTAGGATAAGGTTGATTTGGGACAGGAGTTGGTGCAGTTCTACTCTGTCACATGGGGTCACTATAAATCAGAAGTGACTCAATGCCCCCTAACAACAAATTATTTGTTGCATTTGCATGTAATTTCTTCCATCTTCTTTAAAAAAAAAAAAAATTATGGCAATAAATACACTCAATTCACTAGTGTTTTCCAGGACTCCAAAATACAATTATTGGGGGAGACAGTAGTAACCTTGTAGCAGAGGTAAAGGGAGACAGGTGTTACTAAACTCCCTTTTGCCCATAATACAATTTGCCCAGGCCCAACTCTGGCTCTGGTAAGTTCATCCAATCACCCTGGGGCTGGTTTGGTTCAGCCTGCCTTTTGGAATGCAGTATGGGATGAATGAGACAAGCGTGGGTTATACCGTCTCATCGGGCAGTCAGGAATGAAAGAGATTGTATTTGGGTAGAAAGTAGCTGTAACATGGGAAGCTCTCACTGGCGTCCCCCCCCCCCATTGTTTTATGCTGTTGTTGAGAATATACACAGCAAAATATACACCAATGTAATAGTTTCTACATGTACAGTTTAGTGACCCTGATTACATTCTTCGAGTTGTACAACCATTCTCACCCTACTTTTCTGAGTTGTTCCTCCATCATTAACATAAATTCATCACCGTCTAAAGCGCCTATTGTATCTTCTGAGTTGTCAATGCTTTTTTTAAATCAAAAGTGACAAGACTATGAGGCAAGGACATCTAGGTGTTATTTAGAAAAGATTACAAAATGATAGTCATGTGTTTTCCCTCCCGTTAATTCTCATCTCTATTTAAAGACTTTAGTCAGGAGGCAAAGGAGGAAACCTGAACTGTGGAATGTGGAAAGATATCCTGCACAAAACAAAAGAATTATTCTATAGCCATTGCCATTGACCTGTCCAATCCCAAGATTTCTGACTTGACAAAATCCCTGCAAGATCGTTTTCTAATAGTGTTCTTTCCACTCAAAACATCTTCTCTCCAATAAAATAATTGCACAAAGCAAGCTATAAGAAGAAACATATTCTTTATGTCTACCCAGGTATCTTAAACCATATAAACTCAAACTCACTGTCGTCAAGTCGATTTCGACTCATAGCAACCCCTCCTTGGGTTTCCAAGGCAGTATCACTACAGAAGTAGAATGCCCCACATTCCTTCCTAGGAGTGGCTGGTTAGCAGTCAAATGCCTTAGGCACTATGCCAACAGAGTTCCCCTTAAACAGTATAGCCTCCTAAAAGAGGAAAGAGTGGATGGAGAGAGATCCATACAGTGTTGTTTGCAATGCTTTAACATCAATAAACCTCATCAAGGCATCTGACAGCCTTGTTGGAGAAAGATTGTCATAGCTCTTTCTTTACTATTACTCTGGCAACCAACCAGAATCAATATGTAGCACCATTAGCAGCTAGAGTAGGCATAGCATCTAAAAAAATTAATAACTTTAGTATCTTACATAGGAAATTCTGAGTTCAGTTTTAGTTCTGTACTAGTTGAAGGGAATATTTCTAAACAAAGTATTTCTTTAAAATGGCTTATAAAATTATGAATGATGTAAATTATAGACATGAAAAATATGGAAGATGTAATTTTTGGAAATATCAATACGAAATTTTACTATTTTTTTTCGAGGAACATTTTCTAGATTGGCTTTTGCAAGCCATCGAGTCGATGGCAGTGGATTTGATTGTTTTTTTGGTTTACCTTAAATTTGCTTTAAGAAAGATCCTGGGGTATCAGATGGAGCTCAGAATCAGGGAGTAGGTTTGTAGACCCAACTCTATCATAGCCATGAGATCTTGAGTAATCACTGAGCCTTGAGGTCTCAGTGTTCTCTTGTATAAAATTAGGGTATTAGGCCAGATTATCCAGGGCCCCTGCCAGCTTTCAATCAAAATAGATCAGGCTACAATGTATGCTGCTAAGTAAAACATTTCTCCCAACAGTGTTAGACAGGACCATGTCAGGTGCTGGTTCAGTTACAAAGCTGGGTATCTGGAGGAATGTGCTGACTGCAGTTCTTTGACATCCCAGCTTGCTGAAGTCACTTTGAGCATACTTGTTATAAGGGTGTTTCCCACAGGATGCCAAGCAAGCCCTGGGTGTGAATTCTCCATGGTAGGCAGTTTCACAATGACTTGGGCATGCACCCAGCATCCAAATAAAGAGCAACATTGCTAACAAAATTCAGCACTCCTGAGCTCCTCACCAGTGAGACTTAGCATTCTTGAGCAAACTTGTGTCTCCATCTCCTACTCTGTAAAAAGGGGCATCTATCATCTTATTAGGAGCTCTGGTAGCATAGTGGCTAAGACACCAGCCACTCCTTGGAAGGAAGGTTGGGCAATCCTACTTCCATAGTGATACTGCCTCGGAAACCCAAGGAGGGGTCGCTATGAGTCGGGGCCAACTTGACGGCACATAACAACAACAACAACAACATCATCTTATTAAGGAGCTCTGGTGGTATAGTGGTTAAGGCATTTTGCTGCTAACCAGAACTTCGGTCGGAACTTCGAACTCACCCAGCCCACTCCACAGAAGAAACATTAGGCAGTCTGCTTCCAAAAAGACTTGCAGCCTTGGAAAGCCAATGGCGGTCAGTATGAGTTGGCATCAACTCAGTGGCAGTAAGACTACCTTTATGGCATGTTATACAAACTCACTAAGCATTATGAGTCAAGAGATTTCAGCCCAATAAAAAGATAAGTTTTTTATGCATCCATTTTAAGATTGCCCAATAAATAAACTGTAATTATTGTATAATTATGTCAACTTCACAAACAAATGGTTATTTGGTGCTTATGATTAAGCACTTAGGTATTAACTGTATAATGATCTCCTTCTTCTTTCTCCATCTCCCAGCCCCCGACACCACAAAAGAAGAAGAAAAAAAAATAGCTAAAGAGGAAATTTAAATAGAAAGTGAATGGGCTCTCCAAGTAACCTTGATAGCAGAAGAGTCTTCTGGCAGAACACATTTGTGGCTCTTGAATGGTAGTTCGCTTAGCCACCCCTCAGCTTCCCAGGCTTTATAGTCTGGAATTCTCAGCCTCACAGAGGAAGCTCTGTGCTGAGGTCTGAATCTGAGTTGGATTAGCTCACCTCTAACAAAGAAAATGCCGCAGAAAGTGAACAAGCTCCGCCCTCTCTGCCCTAAACATTCTACATGCTCTGATGCTCTCCTATTTCAACCCAGTAGGTTCAGCATTAAACATTCTTTAACAAGGCTGGACACTAACTCTTCCCTGCCCAGTCTTCAGTTATATCTTTGTCAGTTGGCACTTGTACTTACCCTCTTCACAAGGTAGCCTTCCCTGATCCGCTTTGGTTCCATGTCGGATGGACCGCCAGACAGAGGGGAACACTCAGACGTGTCCTCTCAGAGCTCAGCGTCCTCTGGAAGGCAAGTCCACTGTAGGTTGCCTTTTGTAGAGCAAGGCCCTTTTCACAATTTCCCCTGTGCGGGCGACCGCGTGATCACATCCTCTTCCCCTAACTGGGGTGGAAGATTAGAATAAGGAACTGCAGAGTTAAACAACCCATTCTTTGCTAATATTCAAAACTTATTAAAGCACAGTCACAGGTTAACTCAGATTAAAGATTTACTTGAGGTAAAATTTGATTACCATGAAGAAAATCATTCTCCCAAAGAGGGGGAAAAAATAATTGAAAGGAAGAGGAAGGCCTTATTGGTGTGTTGGTGGGAATTGTCCTACTAGGAATGACTCTTTTGATCCTGAAAAAGTTTAATAAAAATGCTTAGAATTTCAGAACCTTCTGGTAAGCATAACAAAGGTAACAACTATGAAGTGAATGCCTTACCTATGCCAGGTATTGTACTAGTTGTTCTTCAGTAGTTTTCATTTAATTCAGTCCTCACAAGAAATCCATAGGGAAAAGTATATTATCATCATTATCTTAAGAAAAAGGAGCTCTGGTGGTGTAATTGTTAAGGCAAAAGGAGCTCTGGTGGTATAGTGGTTAAGGCATTTGACTGCTAACCAAAGGTTTGGTAGTTCAAACCCACCAGCCTCTCTGCAGAAGAAAGATGGGGCAGTCTATTTCCATAAAGATTTACAGCCTTGGAAACCCAATAGGAGTCACTATAAGTCAAAATCAACTCAAAGGCAGTGAGTTTGGTTTTGGTTTTTATCTTAAGAAAACTCAGGCTCAGGGTGGGGCTAGGGGGACCAACATTGTCTCAAAGTTACACAGCAAGAACCAGAAGAGCAAGGAGTGAGCTCACCAGTGAGTGTGAGAATTCCAGTTTCAGAGGATGCTAATCCCACAAAATACCTATGAAAAGAAGCCCATAATCAAACGATTAAGAAACTATACATTATTGTCATATCTTGGGGACTTCCCTTGCGCATTAACAAATTAAAGATCCATCTTCCCAGCAGTACTATAGCAGAGAATCCTATTCTAATTTTAACTTAGTGTTTCCCAGATTTATTTGACAGTAGACTTTTAAAAAACAATTCGTATTATTGTTCTGAAAACCTAGCATTCTACAGAACAAGCTGACAAATGTTAACCTGGTTATGTGAAAATGAACAGGTTATTTAATCATTCTTTAGTTCAATTTTCTCATTTATAAAACAGAAATAATACCTATTTCATGAGATCATTCTGAAGATGAAATAAGATAATAATGTGTTTAAAGTATATCTGAAACATAGTGACTGTCCATACATGTTAGATATTCCTCATCTTCAAGGCAAATCTCCACTACCCCAGGCTGATCCTTCTCAATGATGTTAGATTCAACAGAGATTACAGAAGTAATCATAGAACTAGATTTTTGGCTTGTCTCTTTTCCTCATGATACCAGGCAGGGTTCTTTGGCTGCAAGCAACAGAAACCAACTCTGGCTAACATAAGCCATTAAGAATTTATTTTAAGAGTATGGAGTGGCTCACAGACTTAAAGGAAAAATGAAGATTCGGGTCACTGGAAATCTAGACAGAGACCAGGGCAACTGTGGAGTTACAGGAAGTAAGAATCCATGGATGGTCTCTTTGAGGCAAAAAGATGGAAGAATTCCAGTGGTTTTCAGGCTGTATGGCAGTCTCTAGTGATGGGCATCTGATTGGCCTGGTCTGGCTTATTGTGAACATCTCAGGCATGTGAAGGGGAAGCACCTAAACAAACAACCCAATCAAGTCAGTGTCCAACAGAGGAGGCGTAGTCCCCCAAGTAATATCAAGGTGCTGTTAACAGTAGAAGAGGGTAGGTCCTTAGGCAAAACCAACAAATGTCCACTTAAGTTATCTAACGGGCCAGGACGGTTAGGGGGCTCTGTTTTGGAGATTTTCTGAGAGTCTCCTAATTCACTTTCCTCTTTCCTTCCAGCTATGTATTCACCACCAACAACAACAACAATGTATCCACCTAGCAGTCATTGCCCCTCTATTTTTCACTTTCTGTTTTGTGCTTATGAAATGCAAATCAAACCCTTTGCCATCAACTTGATTCCAACTCATAATGACACCACGTGTTGTAGAACAAAACTGCTCCCTAGAGTTTTCTTGGCTGTAGTCTTTACAGATGCAGATTGTCAGGCCTTTCTTCAATGGTGCTGATGGTTGGGTTCACTTAACCAAACTTCCAGTGAGCAGCTGAGCACAAACTGTTAGCAACACCCCGGGACATTGTGCTGATATAAACCAACCAACCAAACAAACAAACAAACAAAAAAACCCTACTGCCATCGAGTCAATTCATAGCAACCCTATAGGACAAAACACAACTGCCCCATAGGGTTTCCAAGTCTATAAACCTTTATGGAGGCAGACTGCCACATTTTTCTCCCGTGGGTTTGAACTGCCAACTTTTCTGTTAGCAGTCAAGTGCTACCAAGGCATCTTTGTGCTAATATAGACCATATAAAATTATAGATTGTTGGCCCTCAATTTCTCATTGTGGCAAATTTGGTCACAAATTATTATAAAAATATTAGGAGGACAGGGGAGGAAATCAACATTTGATGGCACTTGAGCAAAATGAAAACAAATAAAGGAATAATTTTTCCATGTCTACATTCAAACAAGTATTTTTGCCATGTCTATATTTGTATATGCAATGGAAATAGTTCCTAGAGTTTCCAGTAGACATTAACTAAATCTGATTTCATGGCTAAATTCATCTCCTTTAGTTTAATTGACCAAGTCATTCTTAATTTGGAATGTTTTTTCCTTTCACCCTAGTACGACCAGGATGCTTAAAGAATCTTTCCTCAGAGATATGATGGTTTTTGGATGCCTAAGGATTGCCCTGAGATAGACCAGACTCTATGGCAACTAACAACACAGTGTAAAAGCACTCCCTAAATTCTCAATAATTCATTTCAAGAAATATGTATTGAGTGCTCACTATGTGTCAGGCCCTGGTCTAGGTGCAGAGGTAAAAGTGTCTTGCTACCAAGGAGGTCCTTAAAATTGTGAATCAGCTGAGTATTACAAAGGATGAATGCTTTAGGAGCTGCCACTCCTCCATTTAGTCACCTGCGTTGTCATCATGCCTGCTTAGCAACACCTAGTGGTCGGTAAACGGAACTATGAATCAATGACATCATTTAGGACTTCTCTTAATCATCTTCTGCTCTTCAGAGCCCATTCCCAAATCAGATAATTAGAACCTCTTCCAATGTCTTCCTTGTGCTTCTAATTGTTGTTCAGTGCCCTCAGGTTGGTACTGACTGATTCTTGTTGTTCTTAGGTGTCGTTGAGTCATCTCTGACTCATAGCGACCCTATGCACAGCAGAACGAAACACTGCCTCATCCGGCGCCAGCTCCATGATCCCTGCTATACTTCAGCCCATCCACACAGTCACCGTGTCAATCCATCTCATTGAAGGCCTTCCCCTCTTTCGTCGAACCTCCACCATTCAAAGCATGACATCCTTCTCCAGGGAATGGTCCCTTCTGACAACATGATCAAAGTAGGTGAGACGAAGTCTGGCCATTCTCGCTTCCAAGGAGCATTTTGGGTGCACTTCCTCCAGGACGGATCTGTTAGTTCTTTGAGCAGTCCATGGTACTTTCAGCATTCCTCACCAGCACCACAACTCAAAAGCATCAACTCTTCTTCGGTCTTCCTTATTCATTATCCAGCTCTCACATGCATATGAGGCGATTGGAAATATCATGGCTTGTGTCAGGAGCACCTTAGTCCTGAAGGAGACATCCTTGCTCCTCAGCACTTGAAACAGTTCCTTCACAGTTGACCTTCCCAATGCTACATGTCGTCTAATATCCTGACTGCTGCTTCCATTGGCATCAGTTGTAGAACCAAGCAACATGATTTCCTTGACAACCTCAATCTTCTCTCCATTTATTGTGATGCTGCTCATTGGTCCAGTTGTGAGGATTTTTGTTTTCTTTATATTGAGAAATAATCCATACTGCAGACTGTATTCTTCAACCTTCATCAGTAGGTGCCTTAACTCATCCTCACGTTCAGCAAGCAAAGTTGTATCGTCTG